ACGTGCAACGAAGAGGAAGACGATGGGCGCCACTGGGAAAAAAGACGCAAAGAGCAAAGGAAATCCGACACCTACAAAGGCTCCGACCGCAGTGAGGAACTGCGACTGCATTGCTTGTCTCTTGGTGAATCCACTCCGGATCAAGATCGAGTAGTCTGCCATTTGAGCAGTAGGTTGATTGGTCTTCAGATGATGGAAAGCTTTACCTGCGATTTCATGCGGAATCTCATGGACAAAGCAGGCCAGAGTCGTCGTCGCCCCGATTAACGGCGACGCGTAGAAGGACGCGGCCATTCTGGTCTCAAGTTAAACGGGGAAATCGGCGCAAGAAGAAGCATACGCAAGCCCGTCTGTACTGGAAAGGAATCAGGGTTACAGATGGGCGGGAAAAGATCGACCAACGTACATATTGTGGGTAAAATCGCCTAATAAATTGAGGTACGCCGAAATTTTCGAAGGGCCGTTAGCTATCTTTGCGGGCTCGGTGGTCTCGGGTTTAGTGTCCTCTCCGTTCTTCCTGGACTTGAGCCCATTGGCGGATTCCTTCTTGGACACCCCAGATGCTTGGGCGACAGGTTCGCCATTCGCCAGGGAATGGGAGTGGGAATGAGAGTGAGAATTTCCGTCTTCCTCGCCCGCAAGCACTCTCAGCGTCTTCTCCATCATGAAGAACGCAGCGAAGCCACCAAAAATTGCAAGCCTGACATATTTTTAAGGTGGCGTTCCAAACGAAGAATTAAGCTCGCGTACCCAATAAGGATATTCCTCTTCTCTTCTACCATCACCAAGTGAACGCCTGCGTGGTCTTGGTGTTCGCCCATAAACGAGTGTGGTACGAGGTGGAGGAACACGTCGGAGAGAAGGCCGCCGGTCTGTGCACGTAAATACCGCGGATGGGAAGAGACACGCTCGAGTGACTGACCGCAAAGGCCGTCATGGTGTTGAGGGTGTTGGCGCTGATTTGGGCCGGGATGAATGCGAGAATGAAATTAGGGATACTAAACGCGGTCAGACGCGGCATGAAGAAGCAGGGGGACGAGCTTACGAGGAGATGTAGAAAGTGCCGAGGATCGAGTTCCATGCAGGCCCGAATGGGAAGAGGATGGCAAAGACTCGACGCATGAATGGTGATTCTTCCTCCTCCAACGCGGCTTTCAGCAGACCCAGACGCCATACCGGGGCACATTCTTGAATCTCAGAGGCCTAAATTGAGAGATCTTGGAATCTTCTTCTTCGATTGCCACGCCGCCACGTACGTAGATCGGAACCTCGGGCCCTGGCATGAAACCACCATCTACGGAACCGTTGGGAGTATGCGAGTTGCTGACGACGGTGAGCGTCAAGATGACCAACCAGAGCGAGAGACGAGACATGGTGAAAAGAGCGGATAGTAAAGTTGAGAAGACGGTGATCCGGGTGCGGCTGTGACAGCCAGCTCCATCAGGCGCGACGCGTCGCGACGCGCTAAACGCAAATCATTTCTATGATGCGATTCACTAGTACATACAAGAGCGTCCAGGAAAAATGGCATCACGATAAGTACTCGGAGACGAGTCGGATGAATGGCTGCAAGACTGTCCGAACCCGACGGAGAATTTCTAATCTACTCGACTATAATATATTGGCGCCATCCCGGACTCATCGCTCACACCAATGTCTCCCTCGCACGAGTGGCTTCCAGCCGTACCAGCAGACCTGACCCTCTCTTGGTTTGAGAGCGTCCTGAAGCTCAAGATCAAATCCGTCGAGCAGACGCGCGCCATCTGGGGAACGGGTGCCAAATTATTCTTCACCCTCACATACGACGACGACGACGACGATACTGAACGCCCAACATACATCTGCGTCAAGGGCGTGTTCGACCCCGCGATGGCAGCAGCTCAACCATGGACGATCCTTCTCGTCCAAAACGAGGCGCTCTTTTACTCGGTGTTGGCGCCTCAAATCACCCGGATGGGGTACCCCAAGGCCTGGTGGTCGGGGACGAGCGAGAAGCAGGGGATTTCCATCATGAATGACTTGACGAGCGAGGGGTGCGTTTTCAAGCCCATGACAGAGCCTTGGACCGTAGAGCAGGCTCTCGAGGGTGTCGAGCAGCTGGCCGGTTTGCATTCCCAGTACTGGGGTGCTCAACCCGTACAGCCTTGTAAGATTCCCTTTATGCATCCAGCGAAATTGCTGACCAAAAGCAGACGCGGTCAATCAGTACGACCCTTCAATGCAATTCATCTGCGCTCCGTGGACCGCAGTAACAGCCGAACGTCCAGCGGTCCCTGCAGAGTTCAAGGACGGCGACCGCTTCAACCGCCTGCACAACAAATACTTCCTCACCCGAAACCCCAAATTTCAAACCCTGCTGCACGGCGACACCCACGTCGGCAACACGTACTTCACCGCCGACGGCCACCCCCGCTGGCTCGACTGGTCGGCGTATCATGTCGGATCTTCGTTCCACGACGTTTCGTACTTTCTGATCGCCCTCAGCGTCGATGACCGCCGCCAGCACGATATGACCATCCTCCAGCACTATCTCGATGCCTTGCACCGATTCGGTGGCCCACAATTCAAAAACACCGACGAGGACGTGTTGATCGAATTCAAGAGGTCGTTCATCGCCAACTGCATCTGGCTCGTTTGTCCGTACAGCTTGCAGCCCGAAGAATCCGTTCGGGTCCTGTGCGAGAGGACGGTTGCTGCTTGGCGGGACTATAAGGTGCTGGACATTATCGAGACGCAGCCAGATCCTGTTCCAAAGGCTTGAATTAAAATATACCTCTGCTACGAATGATACCGGCCCAGCTGCGGCCTACGTAGGAGGAGAATTCTAAAACTTCGGACAAGGAAGACCCGATCGAGTTGGAGGTTGCAAGGAGACTGTCCAAGAACGCAGGGGCCGTACTGGGCGACGTGAGTTGGTGGAGTTCTGTAGAAAATGTCAAGCGAGCGCAAGGCGGCGACGCATGGGCTGACGAACCTGCAGCACTGTAAATTCCAATCAACGATGCGCGTTTCGTGTACCATGCCAGCTAAGGAAAAGTCAGACGAGAATGCGAGCAAGAGAGGACGACGAACTCGTAGCGACGCGTCCTGAGATACATGGCAAGCCTCATCTGCGATCCGCGCCGAGTGCTTGAGCATAGGAAGTGGGTCGAGTGGAGGCACACCAGATTCTGGGGCTGACAATAGTGCAAACGCCTAAGAGAGCTTTAGAGAGAAGAAACAAGGCGGGAGAGAGTTGCAGGCAACCTCTGGGAGGAGCGACACCACCGGTTCGTTATATTTTAAACGCGCATGGAGCGCGTCTTTGACAGACTCAGTGCTGCTCATGCTCTCGAGGCCACCGTCAAGCCACGCATGGATGAGAGTCTTGCGGGCGCGGTCCCCACTCCCAAACAGGGCGGAGACGGCACTGTCGGAAAGAGGCTCTGCGTGAGGTACAGGCAGGTGGAGGACTGAATTTGCCAGTGCCGTGCGCGTAAATCCATGCTAGGGAGACGTTCTAAATGGTCCTGGCTTTTAGAAATTTCGACCTTACTTCGGATACCAGTGGGAGTGCGAGTTTCAGGAGGCGCAGGCTGGAGGACATTTCAGGCCGCTTTCGGCAAACAACTCATCTCAACTTGATCGTCCATGCTTGTCTCTACGGAATCTCAAGAGAAAAACGATGCATCCCATCCCAAACCCTCGACGTTTATGCGTTTCAAGTACTCAGAGTCAGAATGGACGCGAGGACATGACATTCTGCAAGAACTAGAAGAAATCCCGAGTTTTATCTCAACCGTCCCTTCATACGCTCAAGAACGATGTGAACAGAGTTGAAGGATGATACACCTCCACTTTCTATCGAGATGCAGTCCGACATGTCGATCGCGTTGTTGAAGACTCCGACGCGCTGGCTGCGACAGGACGCAAGATTTGGTACAAAACGGAGAGCCTCCGGTTGACTTACGCGCAGAATCACGCCCGTTCCAACTTTTTCCCTCCTGGACTTCAGATGCTGACTCGTCTGGCTTCAAGACCATTGTCCCCATTGGTGTGGTCGACTCCTCTTCTCCATTCCAGTTCCAGTTCCAAGCACCATCCCAGTTCTCCTCCACCTTGTATCAGAGTTCTCGCTTCCACCTGGCTGCGCGGAATGGTCGCCCCTTCGCCCGCCCGTGGGTTCGTGGAAAGCGACCCGGGCCCAAGAAGCGGATACAGCTGCGGAACGAAACCCCGCTAGCGTCAATCCCAGTCACTGGACTTTTCATCGTACTTGGGACCCTCCTCCGAGTTGGAATGATCACTGCTGGTTCCTTTGCGAGGAACTCCTCGCTGCTCTCCCCACCGCACGTTTGTTAGTCCTGTTCTGTCTTCAATGTCTAACATTATCTGCATATCCTGATACTCCCGTTCGACATTCCTTTCCTCGCTACCATTGGTTCATCATTGTATGATGGCTTTCTTGGCTCGTTGCAGTTGCTGATTACTCCATAGGTCCGCATTCTGCTTCATTGGTTCTGTCCTTTGCCCCTCCGCCGCAGCAAGAAGTGATATCGGCGCGCCCAGAAGCCATGAACGAGAAGAAGCAGCAGCGCGCCCGAAAACCTTGAAGTCGCTCTTTTCTCCCGCCCCACTTTTTGACTTGACGTGACCGGCACCGTTAGAGACCAAGTCTAGCCTTTGAGTCCGGAGATCGGACGACGGTTGGAGCTGCTTCTCCTTCCTGGGCCCACCCTCTCCTCATTCCCTCAGGCTCCCCTGTCCTCGTTCAAGTCTTTTATTTCCTCTGTGGGATGCGGACACATTTTTCGGCTGCAATTATATACCGGATTATTCTCTTTACCTACGTGTCTCCTACATGGACTCGTCTCCAGATACCCTTTGATATCTCTACCTAGCTACCTGCACGTACGTATCTCTGAATTATATCATTTGTGTTGGCTATTTATGCACATTCTAAGTATCTCGGGTCAGCAGTGAGTTGAGAGGTCCAATAAAGTCTTGGCACACAAAAAGAAGGGCAGATGCCCTGAGTCGAACCGGGGTCTCTGGCATGCAAAGGTGAACCAGCATGATAACCACTACAACACGTCGCCAGCAAGTTCTCTCCGGAGCGACGGCCGACAGGAGCGAGAAACGCAGGGCAGATGCCCGGAATCGAACCAGGGTCTCTGGCTTTGTAAAATACGAATGCCTGTCCTGTTACCACTACACCACATCGCCAAGGCGAGTAGGTATTTTGTCACTGTCAGTGCACCACAGTGGCTGTCACTGCAGTGCCAGATTTTCTCCTTGGCTCGATGCACTTGCATCGAAGCGTAGCGGGATTGCACTTTGCAATGACTTATATACAGGTGCTGTTCGTCACAGGGTTCGACGGTTAACTGGGACGACAGATAACTCTGTTCCTTCTCGTACATGAAGAGACATGGGTGGGGGTGCAATGGGGAGAGACCGGTTGTGAATGTGGGGAGTTGTGACTGCAGGAAGGGACTATGAAAAGAAGACATGGATACGGTGGGAGGTAGGCTAGATCGGGCGACTTCTTGAGATTTAGACTGGCGTTAAGATGCAGGGTGTGTAACGCAGAGGACTGTCAGGGTTTTCACAAATGTAGACCGCTCGCATTTGTTGAGAGCGTCCGCGGCTAGTCCTTGTACCTGGGCCATTCCATGACGCAATTTTCAATGACAATCAAGCTTTCTCCGACTCGAGCATTGCGTGGTAGCGGAAAACTTGAGTGAACATCCTTCCTTCCTGGAAGTCATTCCAAAGTGCAGCAGGTAACCAAAGTCGCAGAAGTTTGGCATGAGTTTTCACAATTTGACGAACGAAAGAAAAGAGAAAGAGAGTCGCAGGCCATCAATTCCTAAGAGCGACGGCCGACAGGGACGAAAAGTGTAGGGCAGATGCCCGGAATCGAACCGGGGCCTCCGGTTAATACCTTGCGTAATGACCACTATCCTACATCGCCGCGATTGAAAGGAGAGTGGGTCGGTACTAAAGTGCTAAATCATAAATGAGAGTATTTCTGGAGTACGCGCCCGGATGAACGGAACCTGCGCCCGGAATCTCTCTTCCTGAGAGAATGGCTCAGGCAAGTCGAACTTAGCGGAATTGCACTTCACAATTCAAAGATGACGGACGAAAGAGACCCGACTCGTAGTCAAGTCGCAGCTGATCCAATCAGAACTTCATCGAGTGCTCCCTGTCTCGGGTTTTGCGCGGGTTTGATGCTCTGCCTTTCCACTTGATTCTGTTGGTTGTTTCGAAGCCTTGGAGATGGTTCCCTTCCCCTTACTGTAAAATCGGTGCCCAAACCAGCGCCAAAATGCAGAGACAACCTCGGGTTGCCAATTTACAACGATTCAAGCTCTTCTCAGTTTCCGTCTCCTTCTTCACACAAGACAATGTCAGAAAGCTCAAAAGGGTCATTTGAATCCTCAGAACTGGTGTCTTGGATTTTGATTCAGCGCCTGACTCACTACCGATCGTCCTACGACTTTTCTCCTCCACTACCACGATGGCCGATATTGCGCCTCAAGACCGCGTATACTGGCTCTCCTGCCTTGCTTCGCTTCTTCAAGATACCAGGGAATCAGAACCCCTGTTCCCCAGTCGAAATCAAGCAATACCCCGCAATTCTCGAGGTCACAACCATCTGGCCACCCTACTCAGTCGAGAAAGTGTCAACTTCGAGCCGTCTCCAGACGTGGCCGTCGCCACTGCGTTTCGCCGGAACGTGTTTCAAATATGCGTCTTTGCAAGGTTTTCATATGCATCATTCTTTCCTGCCGCCACTCAATCTGACTTTGCAGCACGAGGAATTCACCAAACACCTCGTCTTCCAGAAGATCTAAAGAATACTTTATCCCTTCGGAGCCTGCCGAGAAAGACGTAAAACGATTGTGAGTGCCGGCTTCAACGTCGAGCGCAACGTGTGCTGATCGCTCTCCAACAGAGAGCTACTGCTGGCCGGTCCCGACTCTTACCTACAAAGCCGAAAATCCACCTCATTTACCGACTATGCATACAAAACGATGCGCCTCATGACTGCCGCAGCAGCTCACATCCTAAAAAATCCGCAATCGCAAGCGTACATCCTTAGATGCGTGGCTGTTTACTTTATGCACCATTGCCGTGCAAAGTGCAAGCTCGCCTCGACCTGGTGTCCCGCAAGTTTCCAGACTTGGAAGTTCTCAAGGCGTGGACTCCGGAGGCTTCAGACTACGTGGCCACATTGCGCATCACGGTGCAGAACAGTGTGGTTGCAGGACTTTTGAAGAAGCTGGAAATTGAGTCAGCCGACTCAGACGACGATGTGTTCCTGTATAACTCATCCAACGCACATCTTTGGTGGAGTGCTGTGATCCGTGCTTTTCAAGATTTTGCGCGGCGGGCGTCTTCTACTGATCCCAAAGAGTCCATCTGGGACACAGCGGTGGCATGCAACGCATTGCACTGTGTGTTGAGTTCGGTTCCAGATCTTTGGACGTTGCCGTCCCTCAATTTGTACGTCCTAAAGTACAGGCATAACCGCGGTCAAGACGACGAACGCGAGGCGCTACTTGCGGGTGATTGTTCTCATCCTACCACAGATCTTTGGAACTAATCGTGTACTAGATGAAGCTGCCCCGGCTGCGTCCGAACTGAAACAGTTTCGTCGAGACTTGGAGGGTCTCTGTTCCTGGATGACTAGAACAAGGTACCTCCTCACCAGCCAACTTGCGAAGCATGGTGGAAGCGCTATACACCTCAGTGTCGTGGAGCTGCCCCGAGCGGACATGCCTGCCATTGCTCTGAAAAATCTAGTTGAACGCTGGGCTGCAGAGAAGGGTTGGGACGCAAGCGTTCGGAACAAGATTCTGTCAAAACTTCCAAACATGATACCCCTGGAACAGCCAGCTACCACTGGCGTTTGCCATTCCGCGGCGGGTCTCATCGCTTCATTTCTGTACCGCCAGCAATGCACCGATCCAAGCAAAGGACCAGAAAGACTCTTAGGAACGTTTGCGAACGACGCAAGTACTCTGTGACATTTTCTGGCTTGCCTCTGAGCCCATTTTCAGGACATTTACGGCCCTCTGACCATCGGCGTCGCCGATCGATGCTGCCCCATATGTCAGATGCTGGCTGATGAAATACACCGCACTCCCTCTCAGTACCTGGACTTGTACCTTCCCGTACATCGCAGCCGGTTCTACCGCCCTTGGGTTCCGCCGCATTGGCTCTCTACTGATCTGACGCTGGCTCTTGAGAAGCGGCTTCTGGATACTGTGTTTAACATGGCTGGGGGTAGTCGTTGGACTTTTGGTGCATCCTCAGACGATCTGGATGAATGGGAATGATATGATGGTGCCGTGCGTTGATCCCGAGAGTAATTGATGCAGTCGAGTAAACCCAATGCACCGTTAAAAAGGGAAATGGCATTTAAACGGTAGAGATTCCAGCGAACACGGTAGGTATGACAGGACGGGGGACGATGTTTGTGGAAAGCCACGGGCTGAGACCGTGTCAAATGGACTTCCTCGAAGAGAGTGACAAAGGCAATGATGAGTCGGATAAGATAAGATCGATAAGCGCCGGGTTGAGGTGGGTCAAGGGTGGGTCATGGCGCGGTCATCTAACTGATTCCAGCAATAGAATCCGATGGGAAGCCGTGTACAGCGTTGGCAAGGAACCGCATAAAAGACGAAGCAGTTAGTAGCACTTTACTCTATCACAATGCCCTCCAGCCAAGGTTGGTTTGCAGTGGAAACTTGAGGCCCTACTAACAAGCCGCAGTTTCCCTTGCCCTCTTCGTCCCCCTCATCGCCAAGCGCGAGAAGGTCGACGAAGTCAGTGCGTTCCTCGGTGCGGGGTACGATCTCGTTCAGGTCTGTCGCTTCTGGTGGATGGTTTTCGTAGCTGAATTTCGACTAGGCCGAGCCCGACACGATCCAGTGGTTTGGCGTGAAATACGCCGACCACACCCCGCCCACATACGCCATCTTCGACACATTCCGTGCCGAGAGTGGACGTGGAGCCCACCTCAGTGGCAAAGTTGCTGAAGCGCTCATGGCAAACGCAGGAGCCCTCCTCGCAGCAGGCCCTGATATCATGTCGAACAATATTCTTGCCAACAAGGTCGTGGAGGGTGCCAAAGTGGGTGTCGGCCTGCGCGTGCTACTCACGGCCAAGCCAGAGAAAGTAGACGAAGTGAGAGAGTTCCTCACCGGTGCCCTCCCCCTCGTCGAAGCCGAGCCTGGCACGCTCGTGTGGTACGCAATCGAGTTCCCAGGAACGAACAAGTTTGGAATTGTGGATTTCTTTGCCGACGAGACTGGCAGGAACGCACACATTGGTGGAAAGGTGGCTGAGGCGCTTTTTGCCAACGCCGACGCGATGCTGGTTAGTCCCCCAGACTTGGTGAAAGTAGACGTAGTTGCCTCGAGTGTAAAAGTGTAAAGGAGAAACGCGAATGATACAAGTGCAAACCGACGCGTCTGATTTCTTGCCACCATGTCCCTTTGGGTCGACCAGGTATTGACTGCTACATGGCTCTTTCCAGGCTCTAATTCTTGTTCAGTTTCGTCCTCGGGCGCTGGATGATCTTCATTATCACCAAGGACTGTCTGCTCGGCTCAAGTCTCTTGTCTGTCCAAACTCGTGTCTTGAGGCTTCACTGACGCGCGTTCAGGCGGCCTCGGGAGACTTTCCACACATGCTGTTCTACGGGCCATCCGGAGCAGGCAAAAAGACGCGTGTTACTTGCACTTTGAGGCAGCTTTTTGGTCCGGGAGTGGAAAGGGTGAGTACAATGGTCAAGCCAGCTGCACGCGCATAACGAACTCCAGCTTAAAATCGACCAACGCGTCTTTCTTACACCTTCCAAACGGAAAGTCGAAGTGCATATTGTCCAGAGCAATTTTCACCTTGAGATTACGCCGAGGTGGGTCGAACTTGTGATCGCTATTCACCAACTTACAGCAATACAGTGAGGCCGGAAACTACGACAGAATCATCATCCAGGAGCTTCTCAAGGAGATTGCTCAGACGCAGCAGGTCGATCTCAATGCCAACCAGAGGTTCAAAGGTGCGTCCTTTGCTGTTATACCTTTTGCCATCCTCATTCTCGGTTAGTCGTGATCATAAACGAAGCCGACTCCCTTTCTCGCGACGCTCAGGCCGCCCTCCGTCGAACAATGGAAAAATACATGTCGAATCTGCGGATTATACTCTGCGCCAACAGCACCAGTCGCCTGATCGCCCCAATAAAGAGCCGATGTCTGCTCATGCGCGTCGCTGCACCGAGCGAAGATGAGATGCAGACTGTACTGACCTATGTCGCAAAACGCGCGTACTTTGACCTTCCACCGGAAGCAGCTCAAGAAATCATCAAAGAATCGGGCGGCAACCTTCGGAAAGCCATCCTTGTCTTGGAAGCACTGAAGATGCAGTCGTGCGTTGGTTCTTTTCCTTGATGCTAGTTCTTACTCGTACAATAGCCCAGATCTTTCGGGTTCGCTGACCATCGCGAAACCCGACTGGGAGACGTACTGCCAAAAGGTCGCGACTCTGATTGTCACCGAGCAGACACCAGCACGCGTCATGGAGATTCGGACAAAATTCTACGAGCTCCTGAGTCATTGCATCCCTCCGACGGTGATCTTGAAGGTGCGTTTGTTCGAAAGTGCGCTGGTTCTTATCTGACCTTTCTGCAGACGGTGGCGGATGCTGTCGTCCGTCAAGTGGACGAACCTCTGAAAGCTGAGATTATGCATTGGGCTGCCTTTTACGTGCGTGCTATTCTGCCGACCCGTGCTCTATTAACCGCTGGAGCAGGAGGTCCGAATGTGTCTTGGCAACAAAAAGATATTTCACCTCGAGGCATGGGCGGTCAAGGTGATGAGCTTGTACAAGGTGCGTGTTCCACTGCAGCGCGTTCCTATCTCATTTCTCCGACAGCAATCGTTTTACTCGCTTGATATGGAT